ATTATAATTATATTATATATTATATTATTATAATTATATTATATATTATATTATTATAATTATATTATATATTATATTATTATAATTATATTATAATTATAATTATATAATGACACAATAATTAAATCACACATTTGATATTAAAATTATAATAAGTAATCACACATTTAAAATTAAAATTATAGTAAATAATTACACGTAAAACAGTATATATATATATAAACTTTAATATGCTAGAAGAAATTAAAAAAAAAAAAAAAATTAAAAAGAAAAGTTTTCCATTTAGAAACTAACATTAAAATTTCAAATTGTCTACGTAATGGAGTAAAAAGTAACGAAGGTTATTAAATTATATCCCATGAATAAAACCACACTAAAAATTATAAGAAATAATAATAATAATAATAATAATAATAATAATAATAATAATAAAAATTGTATTAGAAAAAGTATAGGTAATTGAAAATTGTAACAGTACTAACACAATTTCATATAAATAAGAAAATTAGATACTTCATTTAATAGATATAGTTCAGTGATAACGCGAAAAAATTCATTTTTGTTCTTACGTTCGGAAAGATAAAATAAAATACTCACACATAGAAAAAAAAAAAAAAAAGGCAAAGCGATCATCCATTCGAGATACGAAGGTAATAATGACAATATTAACCGTAGATATTTTTATCGGCTACCCTACCTACCAACCAACAGTTTCTTTACTTCTATAAAGCTTCTACTACGTGGGCAGATTATAAAAACTTCATAGCCATCGTTTACATATATATATTATGTATATATATGTGTATAAAACTCGAGTATGTACACATAGTATATGATATAAGTATGTGTATTTGTGTGTATATATACGTCCTTGCACGTTTAGTTACGAAAAATATTTATCATTTTTTTAAATAAAATTTTATTTACAAATTAAATATATATATATATATATATAATTATATTATAAAATTAGTTATATGTGTTAGTAAACTAATTTTACTAAGTTAATTATATAAGTTATATTTAAACTATAATTTATTTTTTTTTTATATATATAAATTTATTTTATTATATTATATTATTATATAAATATATTACATAACATTATATATTTATATTATATTTAATATATTTATTTAAATATATTATTATTTATA